AAAGCCCCTTGCCTGCCTTCCTCTCGAGCGGCAGGCGTGACTGGTTGGGGGCCCCCTAGGGTTTAGGGTTTAGGGTTTGCGGACCTGGCTTCTGAGCAGCTGCAGCAGCTGCTTCTCTTCAACTTTTCCTGTTTCTTTATTTGGTTTTATTCGAAGAGTTTCTTCTGGCAAAGGAATAGCAGCAGCACTTGACAAAGAAGGAGCGTACCCTTCAAGGGGGCCCCCCTGGAGGGGCCCCCCGGGCCCCAGGAGGGCCCCCTGGGGGCCCCCCCCGGCGAGGGGGGGCCCCTCCAGGGGGCCCCCCTCCACAGAGGGCCCCCCGTGGGGGCCCCCATCGGGGCCCCCCTGGGGGCCCTCCTGGGGGTCCCCTTGGGAGCCCCCCAGGGGGCCCCCTGGGGGGCACCCCTGGGGGGCCCCTGGGGGGCCCCCTTGGGGGGCCCCTGCTGTCAAAAGAGATGTGAGTTTGTCTCTGCAAGACCAGCTGCGGGTGAGGCCCTTTTGCTGCTGCTGCATCAGGGGGAGTTCTGCTGGGAAGACGGAGTTTGCTGCTGCTGCTGCTGCTGCTGTTGCTGCTGCTGCTGCTGCTGCTGCGGGCTCGCTGCTCTCCAGGAAAGACATGTTGAATACGTTGCAGCCGTCTGTCACTCTGAAAGAAACAAACACCCTCAACAATCAATCCTAAACCCTAAACCCTAAACCCTAAACCCTCCTCCCTAGGTCCTAAACCCTAGACCCTAAAGCCTAGATCCTAAACCTTTACGCCTGAAACCCAAACTCTAGGTCTATCGCCCTTAACTCCAAACCCTAAACCCTAAACCCTAAACCCTAAACCTTAAACCCTACGCCGTCCTCACCTTGATATAAATTCGAGGTAATTGACTGTCTCCCCGAAGGAGAGGCCATAGAGCCTGTAGGAATAAAACACCCACATAACTCCAAACCCCAAACCCTAAACCCTAAACCCTAAACCCTAAATCCGAAATCCTGAACTTAGGGTTAAAACGCCGCGAAAAACTTCGCGCTACGCCCAACAGTGAGGGCCTTCTTAAAGCATTAACCCCAAGATCCTAAACCCTAAACCCTAAACCCTAAACCCTAAACCCTAAACCCTAAACCCTAGTTGTCACCTGAACAGAGTAGCAATTTGCTCATCTGTTGCTGCTTCCTCCCCCGCCAAGCCCAAAACAGCTAAAAATACCAAACGGCTCACGTGACCAGTTTTCTGCAGCAAAAACCCTAAACCCTAAACCCTAAACCCTAAATCCGTGTTTGCAGCATCTTCACTTCTGCGTACGCTGGGCAGCGCAGCAACTGTAGCACAAATAACAGCAGCAGCACCTGCAATAGCAGCAGCACCAACAGCAGCAGAAGCACAAACAACAGAAGCAGCAGCACAGATATTTGCAACAGCAAAGGGAACAGCAGCAGCAGCACAAGCAGCAGCACCAGCAGCAGCAGC